TCCCCCCCCCCCCCCCAAAAAAAAAACTTGAGAAATTCTTTACAGAAATGATCAAAATCTTTATTCTTATTCTTAAACTTATACATAAACTTATATATTTACCAGGCTAAGGCTTTTCCCTCAATTAATTGAGTTATCTCTTTGAGTTGTTTTTCAGTGAGGTATTGAGTTTCTGTCAGAGCTGTCATGTTGTCCTTGGCAGTGTGTGCATTTGGTTTCTCCTGTGCATTTCTGGGGATCACGCATTGTAGTCTCTCCACATTTTGAACATTTTTTGCTGTCTTTGCAAATTAGGGTGTTTTTGATGTGGGACTTATGTCTGAACATGAGGCAGTGGTTACATTGAAGAACTGGGTATATGTATGGTACTACTTTGCATTTTTGGTAAAGAATGAAAACGTTTTCTGATAAGAGCTGTGATTCGATAGTGGCGTCTATATTGTATGTTGGGATTAGCTGTCCATGTTCTCTTTTGAAAATTCGTCTGATGGAACAGGTTTTGAAGTAGTTTCTAGTAATGGAGTTTTTGATGTCTAAGAGTGTGATTGAAGGTTCAACGTCTTTGATTATTATATATCTGGTTAGTCGATTATATGGAATGTAGATTCTGTATTTAGTTTTGAGTTCGTTGGGGTGGTCCATAAAACGGTTTGCTAGTACATAGTCAGAGAATTCAATATTTATGATATTTTTGTTAACTTTACTCACGTTAATTACTCCTTCAACTTTTTGATCTTGAATTATTCATCATAGGTTGGTTTTCAGGAATTTCATGAGGTGGATAAGGTTGTGCAGTTAAAACAGGATCATTGTTTTCAGGTGTCTTCATCTGCAGAGGGAGACTCAAAATCTTCTTGGGTGGGAGGAACAAAATTTTCTGGGACTGAGATGAAATCTCGTACAATTTTCACGGTATCTTTATCCTCGTAGTACACTCTATAACCTTTTGATGTTTCAGAGTAGCCCATGAACAGACCGTGACTACTCTTGACATCTAACTTCAGTCGTTTTTCTTCTGGAATATGAGTTCATATCTTGGAACCAAATGTAGTTACAAGTGAATTAATGTTGTAACAATTTTCATACCAAAGCTCATAGGGAGTCTTTCCTGGAATTGAAGAGTTACCGGTTCTGTTAATAACGTAAACAGCTGTGTTTGCAGCTTCCGCCCAAAACTTCTTGTGTAGCTTTTTCTCAGCTAACATGGTTCTAGTAGCTTCGATAATGGTTCTGTTCTCACGTTCAGCCTTCCCATTTTGTTCTGGATTATATGCACAGGTTTTCTGATAAATGACACCATTTTCAGAATTTTTGGTTGTCAAATTCTTTTCCATTATCAGTACGAAATTTCTTCATTGTTTTGTTACGTTGGGTTTGGCACAGCTTCAAGAAGGATAATATCTTTTCATAAAATTCAGCTTTAGATTTTGGGAAGTAAGCAAATCTATACTTAGAAAAGTCATCTGTTAATAAAAGTCTGGCTCCGCCCAGGGAGTTAATTTCCATAGGACCACTGAGGTCAGCATTAATAATTTCACAAGTAGAAGCTGTTTTAGTTTCACTTGATGGGAAGGGCTTTCTTTGATGTTTGCCCTCAATGCAGGCTTCACAAAAGGTTTCACTTTCAAGCCCTTTTTATTCCCTTGGTATTGAGTACTTCTTTGACATGCACAATATTTTGGTGAGCCAATTTGCGGTGCCATACGGCAAGTGATTCGCACTTGGAATTGTTCTTTGTATTTGTAGGATTTAGACGTGCATTTAAACAAATTGCTGATTTCTCATGTGCTCTGAAATTCATTCGAAACAAATTGCCTTCCCAAAGGGCCCAGGCACAGGGTTTGTTAGAGTTCTTTCACACAAATTTCGCACTGGTGGCATCTGATACCAGGTAGAACCCCTTATCCAATGCTTTGGTTTGTGAAAAAAGGTTGGCATGAAGTTTAGGAACATACAGGACATTTTGCAAGTCTACATTAACGGAACTTGTGCCATTGAAGGATTTAACTGATACAGTACCGTGACCCAAAGATGATAGTTTCGATCCATCAGCAATAGGTATTTCTTTGGCTGTATCAAAGGGAGAGTAAGAACTAAAATACTCATTATCTTTATAGAAATGGTCTGATGCTCCACTATCGAGATACCAATTTTGTTTAGATATGTTGCGATTACATGCCATCATGACAACGGATTTCTCCTCCTCGCTTTTAGACTTTCTTTAATCTTGATGTTTATTCTTGCGGAACCAGCAATGTTTGGCTATATGGCCAATGCGATAGCAAACATAACATCTAGGTCTCCCCTTTCGAGGGGGCTCCTGTGACTTATTCCGCACACTACCACAGACTTCAGAACTACTGTGACTTTCGTGTGATTCGCTAGATTTGAACTTTTCACGAGAACGGCGGCGTGATGTTGATTTACTCTTGTTGGCTTTTTGCCAACGTTTCCGGCAACTGTAACATTGTGCTGCTTCGTTTAAGTTACTTTTTGAAAGTAACGCTGTTACCTCTTTTGTCGACTTCGATCGGTCTTCTTCAATTTGTAGACGAGCAGTTAAATTATCCAGATTTTGTTCAGAAGTGGGCACTGACTCCCATGCTGAAACAAAATGTTTAAAAGAATCTGGGAGAGACATTAAGATCTTTGTTACAATCATTTTCTCTGGGATAACCTCTTTCCAAAGTCGCAGTTTGGAGGCTATATTTTGCATCCTGTTATGAAATTGGTGACGGAGCCATCAAAAGAAGCACTGAAAAATTGTTGTTGCAATAGATGTACACTTACGTTGGACTGACGTTCATAGATGGTTATCAACTTCGACCACATTCCATGAGCGGTTTCGCAGGACAGAACATGCGAAAGAGGACCCTCCCTCATTCTCGTTACCAGGACTTCTTGGGCCTTAGCATCTTTCAGATTGAATGCCTTAAACTCCTTCAGGGCAGCTGCTGCTCTTGCTTCAGATGCCGATATTGCTTCAGCATCGCCTTCTCCGGTTCTAATAACTGCTGGAACTACCGGTGCTTTCAAGATTTCTGTTGTTATATCCCATAGGTCTTTGGCCGTCAGGACGACTTTAACGGAGAATTTCCACGTTTTCCAGTTCGTCTCGTCTAGTTTAAGCAAATGCTCAACTTTCACTTGGGACTCCATGATCAAGTTTTGAATAAAACTGGGTAGGCACAAGGTTTGCGGTCGCGGCAACACGTGCACGGCTTAATAGAGACTAATGGATTACGTTTCACTAACGGCTGATCATGGTATTAATTTCTATCGAGAACGCGACTGGGCTCCATAACCTGTCGGATAGCAGATTTATTTACAGGGAATGATTAGGGTGAAGAAGATAACAAAAGTAAATTTAGTTAAGGACGTGGCTTGAAGACTCTTACTTTTATTATTCATTAAGGGCAAAGCACAGAGAACGAACAACGAGAGAGAGGTGCGCACGCTCACATGTATGTTACCAACATAAGAGAGAGAGATAATACTAGAGGTGGTATTACATTATGTACCAACTTAACAAATAGACATTTGCGATAACAGTGTAATAATGCTCGGTTTTCTTTAAAAAAATCAATGCCTCGAATTAAGCTTACATTCAGCGTCAGGACTACACACACAGATTTTGGAAAGATGTGACCTCCAAATTGGAAGTTTATGTACACTTGGCAAGGCATGTTTCGAGATTTCACACCAGTCATCCCTCTAATGAAGAGAGCGCTAGATTTAATGTCTTTAAAGACATTAAGAGTTAGTTGGGTGATATTCTAGACTCATTGTTGATTGATTGGATCCTCCTCCGACGAGTGTACTGTCCATGCTTTCTCCGTCATCAGCCATTGTGGTAGGGCGGTGCAATTCGTACCAGAAAACGTTCAGACTGACGAAGTAGAAAGCGTTGAGATAAGAATGAGGTTAGGCCAGTCCATGAGACTAAGATCCGATCTCAGTTGAACTTATTCGCGCATCCGACAATTCACGAGGATAAGCGCGAACACATGCGGAAACAAACCTGACCGATTCCCGTCGCCATTTGATACATCTGGACTCACGGAAAAAGGTGAAAAGCGGAGATACAAGACGGGAGCTAACGAAGGACATGGCTTGTATTGAAAAAAAGTACAATTGGGGTACAAGCCCTATAGGGCTACCACGCTTGGCTAGGCTAAACTCCCTAGTCTATTATGTACTACCAACCTATGTATCTAGGATATGACAGGAAGAAAATCTAAACATATTTATATTGAAAAAAATTTGCGCCCATCTTGCCTAATTTCTAGATAACATCTTTTGACTTTTCTTTAGTCCAATAAAAACAAGTAACTACATATATTTGGCCATTATTGAGGGGATTTGCATATATTTGATGTATTCAATGCTTGGACTAAAATCTCGGTTTTATTTTTCAGCAATCAAAGTTAGAAGGAAACCGATCCATCATTCTTCCCGACACTACACAAGAACAAAAATCACAGGTCATTACTCCTGATCCTATTAAGTTTGATCATGTTGTAGTTAAAGTCGAAGATGCCTGAATTCTTTGTGTTCAAATTATTTCTAGTTTAAGTTTAGTTGCCCAGCATGAAGAGTTCTTGCCCTGAAACGCTTCATATTCGTCTGTTACCGTGTAAAAAATAGTGACATTTGGCTGATCGCTTGTTAATACTGGCTAAATTTTAAATTTTTCAAGCTAAGTTTGAAAAATGACATTTGAGAATCTCCCAACCTTTTTCCTTGGGGGCTGTCCATAAATTACGTATCTTTGGGGAGTGGCTGGGTCTTCATAATTTTGTGATCGAGCTTGACAAGAAGTAGGGTTCTGTCAAGCTCCCAAGGGGAGGCCCAGAAGTGGCCGCCTCCAATTTTGATGTGTTTTGCGATGAAAAATAGTGTAAGTGCAGTTGATTGACAAGTGCTTTTCTATTTTTACAAATGGACTCTCCCCTTCCCCCCAATACCTGCAGTGTTAGCGCAATGGAATGACACTCGCCTGGCAGTTTTCAAGCCATGAGTTTGATTCCCAGCACGGACAAATTTTTATCCCCGTTTTCATTAGAGAGATTTTTTTTATAATCATTAAAATAACATATGTAAGAACAGTACAAAAACCCTTAGTCGGTAGTGGTTAACAGTGTGTAATATTTACCAAGAACAACTTACGAAGAAGGGGGTGTTCTGGTGAGGATTTTAAAGAAATATAACTTGAATAAAACGGAGGCAACAAATTTCCCCGCATCGAGGATCCAAGTTATTGCTTAGTGACTTCCAGGCTAGTGTTGTTCTATTGTGCCATCGCTTCAGATATGGCAGTGTGACTAGATTTAATTTCTATCGTTTCGAAGGAGTTTCGGAGGCCCGTTTGCAAAAACAAAAAAGCACATGTCAATCAGCTGCTTTCAAACTGTGTTTCACAGCAAATCGCATCAAAATCAGGGGTGGCCACTTCTAAGCCTCCTCTTATCAGCGTCATGTAACAGTATTGTACTGGCATTGTATTTTTCACAACATTTTTTTCCATTATTTTTTTCCTCAAACATATATATTTCTCAATTTACTGATTCAAATATTCGTTTTTCCAATCAAATTTGACTTTAATTCATTATCCCACCAATTCATGGTGGGCATACAAACTTAATTTTCTTTTCTTCTGAGAAAAGGGGGGCATGTTATAAGAGGTGGATGGGTGTCGAAAAATCGGAACCATTGCGTCCCGTAGTTTATAGACAGCCTCTTCGAACACTTGAGTGTTCCAGAATATTCATGCTAATTTTTAGCACCTGATGGTGTAAAGAGTCAGTAGCCCTCCTGCAAATTTTTCGAAACCTATCGTTCTGGTGGATGAACTATCCTCATGTCCCATGCAACAAGAGCTATCAATCAGCCCCTCCAGGGCTGAAATCTTTGCAGCCTTTCCATTTCCTTAGACAACTATCTTCTGCAGTGGTATCCAGAATTCTTTTTGCTGGTGAAAGTTTTTTATCTCAATGTTTGGTTATTCTTCTTATTTACTCTTTTTTAATTGGTAGAAAATATTTTGTTGGGTTGTAAGAAACAATCATTATGCACGATGCAAAGACGTGTGATCCAAACCGTCAACTCTTTTAATGATCTCATCAGAAATGATTGTGTTAGTTTAGCCGATTCTCCCCCCCCCCCCTGAATTGGAAGTATCTATCAGGTGAACCTCGACTCATCCTATGTTTTACCTCTCTACTTGGTCTTTGGCACTCAGAAAACAATCAGATGAAGATTGAACAATGTGAAATCCCTCAATTTGCTCTCATTTTTGTAATAATTAAATGTGCTCGCCATTTTCCCGAGCAAAATACCATGGTAAAGTACCTTTTACCTTTGATTTTCTCAGTCCCCTCACAATCAATTAAAATGCAACTCCTATGAATTCCTCCGGTAATGAATGTATAAACTAAAGGTTTTAATCATTTAATTTTTAACAAACTTTAAGAACTCGAACTTTCAAATTATCTTTTACCATATCATACTATGTAATTTGATTTGAGAGGACCTGTCTCTCATTTTCAATGACCGATCAAAGACTGATTACATTTCGACACCAGTGACACTAACCTCAGTAGGGTATTATTCAACACTTTTAGGTCATCATTATGTATCACGTTTGTTGAACAGTTAAATATATTCTGCTTCCTCGTCAATTATTTGATTTTGTAACTGAACAGTAGTAGCCTGATCAGTCAGAATAGAGTCAGAACGTCTGCGTGTTCTTTTGTCAGTAGTTATGGGTTTTTTTTTATTTTTGTTCAAAAGTTGTTGAGTAGTAATTGTTTAATTTGTGAAGTACAGTCATGTGTACCACTTTCAACGTTTAATTTCCCTCGTTTTCTGTGCAGCCGGGAGCAGTGGCAGGGGAGTCAGCAAAAGGTGTGACACATCCGAGAACTCTTGATGAGCGTTTTTCTGGCCTGAAATCGGGTGTGTTAGTCCAGGTACTGTCAGCAAAGTTCTTTGTCTTTTTCCTCTCACCCTGTTTCTGCTCCTGGTTGTAGCCTTTTTTAGTCAAGAGGTTTCTGCTCAAAGAATAGTTAACTCTTTAAAAATTACATTGTGGGAAATTAAGTGAATAATTAACTGTATGAAAGAAACGTCAAATTTAGTCATTGCTCTTAAGCTACAAATTTCAGCACAAACTTCGCACTTTACCTCACATGCTTCGCCACTTCAGTACTTTGTTTCAGAAGATGATACTTTTCATTTGTGTTTTAACCAGAAATCGGTAGCTGTGAAATATTCCAGGAGGGGTAAGAATTCCATCGGTTTATTTAAAGCATTAAATAATCGTAATCTTTTTTCTGATGATCAGGCTTCTACTTAATTAATTGACTTTAAATAGTAGGTACTTAGTCCAAGATTTTCATGAAACTGCTATTTTATCCCGTTAGTCTTTTGTAATGATATTGTAAAATTTCTTATCAATATTGCTCCATCACTGTGTACTTTGACATTAGTTGTAATGGTTGTAGAAAGACCTCTTATTTTCATGATTATATTTTTGCGAGAGGTAAGAACTCCAACGGTGAAACAACTCAATGAAACACCATCCATAAATACTAAAACAAATGTACTTTTCTTAATTCTGCTGTGAATGATAAAAGAATAACTGTCAATCAAAATTTCTTAAAATATGTTTCTTTTACCGTTAAGCTGTCAGCGGTTTCATATCTCGACCTTGTGCAACAAATATAGACAACAAAAGTATTTAAGTATTAGGAAGCCAGCTTTTTTTTTTTTTTTTTACATTGAAGTTAGTCGAGTCATCATTGTGTTTCTCAAGAAACTTCACCCAGGAGTCCATCTGTTAAATTGCTAATCTCTAGCTGATTATTTTTCTGCCTCTCACAAAAAATATATCCCTTTGAAATGTGACCCTGATGAATATAAGAGTTTTTTCCCCTCTCATGTTGAATTTGGTGTAAGAATGTCTTTTGATACTTTCTCGGCTGTCTTTTCGTTGATAGATATGATAAACCCACCAGAATTTCTTTCACATCAATCCTGTGACTCCTTTTATGTACTTAAAATATTTATCAGGGCTGTGATCATCAAACTGTGAAAATCAAGTAAGTTAGTCTGTATATATATTTTGTTGACTGTAAGTTGTGCTACGAAAGTGCCTATTGTACCCTAGAATATTTCCAAATTGTTGTTCTGTTACTTGAGTTGGTGATGTCAGTTTTTCTCTTGCCCCTTACAAATTGAACAAGTTGGAACCTCAAGCTCCTACCTTTTCTAGTTTTATAAATTTTTTTTAATTTTTTATTTGTGTTTTCTTCAAGTTTGGAGGTCTCATTAAATGTTTATGTAAGCTGAATGTGTATACCTTTTTGTCATTAATATATCTAAGAGGATGTTAATTAAGGTTCCTTTGCTTTTTGTACCGAACAAGACAAGAAAGAAGAATTAATAAAACTCAAGTTAATTTAAGTGATGGAAAAATTGGAAACTTTGAAGTGAAAAGATACAAAAAAAAGTGATTCAGACGAATTGTATGTCAAGAATTTCAGTTTACTTGAGACAGCAAACAGAACATGTATTTCCAAAGCTAATTGACCACCTTTTAAACCCTTCAGAAGTACTGTATTTTTTTTTTTTTATCTTCTGTCATTTTCATATTTTAAGGTGTTTTCACACTTCCTCTCTTTCTCTGCATAATATGTCATTAAAAGGGTCCTTCATTATAACTCTCCTCCATGAAGTCAATCAAAAACATAGGAGAATCTTTATTGCAGCATAGAACCTGCAATCAAACAAGTAACTTTTACAGATAATCTGAGGAGATTAATTCCTTGAGACCCTCTTTTCTCACTTCACTCATTTTTCCGTCAAAAGCACCGTGAAATTTAATTCTTCACAGGGTGAGTCTGAGTATGCAAGAGGACAAGAAGGGCGGATTTGTGGAAATTGAAGCGGATAAATGTTGTCAAGTTTTAAACTTTATTTGGTACCTTTTTTCTCTCTGAAGGCAGCGCAAAGAAATACATCAGATTCATCCACAGTAACTACAAGCTATATTGCTAAAATACTTGATCAGGAATTTAGTCGGTTTTTGCATTGGCACATTTCTCTTAGACCTCCCCTTATTACCTCAAAGGAAAACAGTTCTTAAAGTGCATGAGAACCAGTACAAAAAGGGGGAGCTATTGAGTTAATTACTCATAATCATCTGTGTACTTTATTGGTGAGTTTCTCATTTAAAAATTGAAGACTGAGTACGCTGGTAAGTTTGATACGAGGTAATGAATCATAACAAGAATAAGTTTGACTCATAACGACTGACATCACCTTACCCTCTAACCACCTACCAAAGTTTTGCCTAAACTAATTAGTTGTAGAAATTTCTGTTACATTAATAGTTTATTTTTTGTTCTTTGTTTCATTTATGTATTCATTGTATGTAAGCACAGAAATCAGTACAAGTAAAAATGGGGGAACAGGCTGTTACAAAAAGGAGACATTTTTCAAATCTTAGCACTCATGAAATGAAACTTTTTTTGTGGTATCTTGTTGAATTTCAAAGTCAATAGTGGTAAGTCTCCATTTTGCACCTAGGGGTGTCAAAGTGGCAAAATGGACTATTCAAACCACCAACTGCCGTGCTGCTGTAATCATAATGGTATTCCAGAGCAGGAGGGGCAAAAAGATAAAAGTATGCGAATGGGTATAGGTTTTTTTACATGTAATTTCAAGGGATGATGGAGACTTTTGGATAACCGGAAATTTCTTTTTTAACTCGAAGCTTATACCCTGGTTTTTATGTGTATTTCATTTTTGTGCTAATGCCGGGATGATAAAATTCTTTGTTAGTATTCTATCAACTTTTTTTCGTTTTTTCCACATTTTTGTGTGTGTTTAGGCATTCTGAATTTTATGTTTAAAAATGGACCACTAGACAAGGTGCGAATTCAAGAATTTCTTATGATAAATAGTTATAGATATACCAGGGGGCTACAGGCTACACCCCCTGCCCGCTACATGGCTCAACCCCTGGAGAGCGTTTTGCCTTTTCTGAGGCCTCTGTGAGTTGATCTAAATAAAGTGGGCTCATCTAGAAACTGTCTCTTATCGATAGCCGCAAAAATCATGGAAATCAACCCAGTAGATCTTTGGAAAGTAAAGTGACTAAGATTGAATATTAAACTTGTTTAAATAAGAGAACTCGCATCTTTATAACGTAACTAGCCGTGATTAGCGCGCTTTGCAAGCTGACACGCCTAGCCGGGGAGTGCCCCTGAACCCCCGGTTCATCGCTTCGCGATGAACTTGCGACTCGCTCCGCGAGCCGCCCCCGCCCCTTCTCATTCACCAAGTTTCACCCTAGTACCGAGTTTCACAAAAATCGATCGAACAGGAGCCGACTTAGGATTATAGGCCATGTCTACCTCCTTGAATTTCAAAAATCCGACCAAAAATTCGAGTTTCCCGTCAAAAAATACCCGCGGATACGGAGTTTCACGAAAATCGATCAGACAGGAGTCGACTTAGGATTTTAGGCCAGTGCAGCCATCTTGGATTTTGAAATTTTGAAAATCTGACCAAAAATTCGAGTTTCCCGTCTGAAAGTACCCCTCACTACCAATTTTCACTAAAATCCATCGAAAAATACCCCCTAAAACCTGAAATTTCGTTTATAATGCTGTGACGTCACGCGACAGGATTGAACCTGTTCGGCGCGGTGCGCGTGAACAACCTCGTATCTCCAACGCATTAATATACGGAGAAACAACTTTTCGCTCTTGCAGGCGTCCTGGGCAATGTATTGGAATCGGAATAATTTTGATCAACTTGTCATGACAATTGCTAAGCGTGTAGCAAGTGTAAAGGAAACGGATTCGGCCAATTTTTCTCCAGGAGGGGCGGAGTGAGTGGTAACAGCAGCTTTATATAAAGTAATAATGCAAGAAAACCGGGGTCATATTCCTAAAATCTGAATAGAAGAGGGCTCATCTAAGAATTCTCGTCTGTCCATAGCAGCAAAAATCATGGAATTCGGCTTAAGAGAGCGGTAGAAGGAACTGTGGCCAAATATGGAAATTTGAGGGCTTAGAGAGCTCAATAGTAATGATGTTTTCTCATCAAAATTTCATGTAGAACACGATTTTTACACCAGAAATCACTAAAAGTAACTCATTACCAAGATATTAATACTTTTCAATAACTATGCATAACTAAGAATAACTGTGAATACTACTACTATAACTACGAATTCAAACTTCCCTTTCTTAGAAAAAACAATAATCTACCGGAGTTGATTTGCACATTAAACGTCACCGTGACAGTCTCAGCAAGATGACAATTTAATAACATCTATCTGAGTACTTCGGCTCAGCTGTTACATATTGTGAACTCTTAGAACAACACAGAGGGGGAGAAAAATTGCTCAGTTTTAAAGCCTGCCAAAATCGTTGTAGTGGGCGATTTAATTCAAGTAGACTATCATTTTTCTTTTGTAGAGAAGTTAAAATTTCTGTAAACTGAAAACCTCAAAAAGTAGTTAAGAGTCATTTCAGTTATTTTCCTTGCTTGAATTGTGTTCTACGTGAAATTTCAGTTCGGGAACCTGTGTTAGAATTCTTAAATTGACCGCACCTTGACCCATGGTCCATTCTAATGTATGTTTATATTCTGGTGGTTGAAATTTCAGCCTACTGTTTTCATGTAATATAAGTTCTATTCATATTGTTGGATTATAAGATGGAAGTTTACAAATGAGTAAGGTACAAGTGAAACGAAGGTATGCTTTCCCCCTATTCAGGCACCCAAAATGACAAATCTTTCAGTTGCAATGTATTCGTTCCAAGCTTGGTATGAAGTTAGGAACAGGGTTTCAATTCTGTTATATTCGATTCTTATCGGTCTGCTCTTCATCGTGTACCAAACTCGGCCAAGACTGAAACGGCGCCAAAGTGACTGTACATTTTTTCGATTTTGGGTGCTTGAATGGGGAAAGAGCATACCTTTATTTCACTTACCTTCATGAATGAGAGAATTTTCATTTCAAGTGTCTATAATCGTATTAAAAAAGCAGACTGGGTGCTACAGTATCTCTAATTTCATTAGGACATGGTGCATCAGACAAGAATAATCTTTTTGGGCATTCGCAAAAAGCAAATGTCTGTCTCTTACGTCTCCTTATACAGACAGGTGCTATTACAAGTGTGACCCTGCATTCACCAGAGGAGAATGTTTTCAATCATAAATTTGTTTTCTAATATGAAAAAAAATAGTGACAAAAATAAGCTTAACAGTGCCTTTAAAGAGATCTTCTCACTAAAATTCTTCACTTAATTATTCTAAAATGAAAACATATTCTGATATGTAACGGCCGAAGCTACCCATCCTGTTTTTTTAATTTACGTAACTTTTGAAAATCTTCACAAATATTAAACTTTTTGTCCACCATAAAGTTTAATAAACACAGGAGACTAATCTTGTGTAAAGTTTATTATTTATTTTAAATAAAAAGTTACCGGTCTTAAAATTATACAACAGCACTTTACACTTAGAATCAAAATTGGATATTTCGTATTTCCGTGCTTCTCTCATGTAAAGAGACAATAGGTCACGTGATAAGGCATGAACTGGGTCATGAACAGGAATTGTAAAAATCAGCACCAAAGAGAGATTTTTTATACTTTCCATTGATACCCTGGATCAGAAATCCCACAAATGACATCATTTATATTTTTGGCGTTCAACGAATGTCGATCTTAAATTCTTATGCGGTCATTTAGAGTTGATCTGCGCACTTTCTGTTGTGTGAATAATTTTCTATCTAAAACTTCTAAGAGCAAACACGTAATAGAGTGCTTTTAGTTTGTACTTTGTCAAGTGCCCCATTGATCAATCAGGAAATGAACTTAAGTGCATGCAAGCTGTGACTGCCTTGCAAAAAGTTATTTCCCTAGTTGTAGTCGTGCAACTACTCTAGTTTTAGTCGTGTGAGAACCCTAGTTGCAGTTGTGCGACTACCTGCGGGTGTTCCAATCACATACCCTTATAGTCACAGCGGTTTTTCTAACCAGGGCAGCTGCTAAATTGAAGAGATGCAAAAATATTTCCAATACCCTGCAGGCCAGCTCTTGAAATTATGTTTTGTGATGGGGACATAACCGGACCAAACTGGAATAAGGTCTTACGAATGGTTGGTTAATTAAGACATCCCTTTTGTCATATCTTTATTGAGCTGAGTAATCCAGCGATTCTCAAACTTTTTGGCTTTTGGATCTCCTACATCTTACCTGGACGGCTCTTGGCCCCACTCAAAAAAGATGACCTTATCTTTATTTTTTTGTTTCTTTTTTTACTCCTGAGACATGTAATGTAGTTACAGAAAATACATTGTATTGTTATGTTCATTTTCCTCTGGTGACGTATCGTAAATTCTTTTTTTTTCCCATTGTTATGTTTCAATCTGTTGTACTCTCTCTTCTTAAGGCTCCCTAAGTACATGCCTTCTGCAGCCCACAAATTGAGAATCGTTGGTGTAATCAACAAGTTAAAAGTATCCCTCTCAGTGATGGACAGCCAATCAATTAAGAGGCTTGGAGGACAAGGCGCATAAGTGAGGTTTTTGCTATTTTGAGAAATACGTGTTCGAAGTTTCGAAATTACATGGATCCTTATGGTGGAACTGAAGTTCAAACTGACTTTTTGATGCCTAAAAATTGGAATTGGGGAGCGAATTCTTCACAGAATACGCATTAAGACTAGTTTTACTTGAAATAATTGACATCTCAATTTTTTTTTAAAGATTTCACTTATCCTCCAAGCCTCTCAATTATCCAATCTGACACCAGCCTCACAATAGACCTATGATATAACTTCATTCTAAGCCAGTCTCATCATGTCTCATCAATTGAGATGCTTCAGCCTTTCCCCTGTAGAATGATTGGAAACTTTCTCTCATTCTAATCCTCAGTCCTCTTCTCTAAATTGAATAGATTATTTTCAAAATGTCAGTGCTGGAATTTCCGAAATGAGTTCGTGAATAATTTTTCAAAAATTGTCATTATTGAGGAGTGGTAACAATCATTTCCAAACTTTCGTATTTCCCTGTAAAGAGATGACATTTCTTGGAACAGGAAATCGAATGGTACAGTTTTTCATGAATTTATGAATGTGACACTTTTGTTGTTGACAATGCCGATCATAAATTGGAAACTATCTCGGGTTAAGAGGACAAACTCACTTGCTATGAAAATTATATCAGAAAAAGAGGGGAAAATTCTGCCTCTGATGTACTCAAAACTTCCACTGAAAACGTATTTTTACTTCTTCAAAGTCCAACGTCTTCGTGATTTCTATCTTAATTAAGAGCCACCTTTAAATTTTTGTTTGTTTGTTTCGTGAAATTGATTTGTTTTTTTCGATTACATTTAACTAAATTGTTCTACCTCTGGTTGCCATTATTCATTCATTACCAACCTGATAACTCTGATATGTGTAAAGTAGAAGTCTGAGCAAAGGGAGAAAATTCACTTCATTTTCACTGCGGAATCTATCAAAAGTTTATCTCAGCGTTTAGGTTATTTTCATGACCACTCCTACAAAGCTAGAACTGTTACATATTTTTCTGCTTCAGCTGCTTAAGTAGGTCTGATGAAAGAAAAGTACAGGGGAAACAGGAAAAGTAAATATTCATCTACAAGTTTTGATAGTTTTCATTAAACATAAATACCAGCGACTGCATTCAATTGATCATCAAAAATACAACTTTTATGCTCATTTAATTTTAATCATCCTACCAACCTCTTAAGATATTTAAGCCGCAAGAGTGTTAGAAAGAGATGCATTTTTATCATTTAAAAGTCTTGAAACCACACGCTGCTGATTGGAAGTACGTAAAGCGCGACATTTATGTGTTTTTATTTGAAGATCATGGGCAATCAAAGCGAATTCTTAAATAAGTTTAGTGTGACTCAGCAGCTAAACTCAAATCGCTCAATTGAAGTTTGCCAGTGCTTTAGAGGCATTAGTGTGAAGTTGCTGAGTTGTCTAAATGATTTTAAGTGATTTTTCAATGTCAGAATAATATGAGAAATAATATTTGTATGTATATGTCAGCAGCAGAAAACTTACTACATTTGCAGAATGTCCTCGAATCGATTATGAGATAAAATATCTTTAAACAGAGAGGACAATCATCAACTTATCTGTGATTTACCAAACTTCCAGATTCATTTATTCTACTTTGTTCTCCAAAATTACAAGATCAGTTGGACTGCATACTACATTTGCAGAATGTCCTCGAATCGATTATGAGATAAAATATCTTTAAACAGAGAGGACAATCATCAACTTATCTGTGATTTACCAAACTTCCAGATTCATTTATTCTACTTTGTTCTCCAAAATTACAAGATCAGTTGGACTGCATTTTGCAATTTGGAACTATAAATTCTGCACGAACCGAAAGAGTCGAAAACAAACGAAACTAACGGAAAAAACCGAGGTAACAAACTGTGAGCTAATTAAATGAGAAAACAGAGAAGAATCGGAAAATTAAAAAACTCAAACTCACAAAATAAAATTAAAAAGCCGACGCGTTTCGGGACACCTCGGTCCCTTCTTCAAGGCTAAATTCCGACCGCTAAATTCTGGCTCATCTGAAAAAAACACTTATGTGCATAGGGAAACTAATGGTACATATGTTGTTTTTAAACCGCGCCGGAATTTATAGTTCTAAATTGCAAAATGCAGTCCAGTTAGCACCATTTAGTTTTTAAAAGACCCAGAGTGGTAGATGTACCAGTGGTCTTTGCTGATATATTCCTTATTCTCAATCGTCCTGGCAAATTTTGTCCATAAGGTCACTTGCAGGCTGAAGGGACCGAGTCTCCTGGCTTAACTTGAAAGCAAGCAAAAGAAGCATTGCTCGTATTAATCTGTCAAAGCATCTGTCTGAAAGATTTTGGGCGGAATGAACTTCAAAAACCAATCCACTTAGGTATAATGCAGTTGAGCATTGTATTGAGCTAGCAAATTTTTGTTGAAGACAAATAGTCTGAGAGAGGTGCCAGTCAGTAGGATTTCATGCTGCAATCTAGTCTTTAGAAATTCTATGCTAAATTGTGGATACCTTCTAAAAGACAATGCATTTTTTACCATTCATGTAAAATCACTTTGCAATTTTCTGCCCTAGAAAATTTATAAATATTAGTTGAGCCTCATTTTTAGATAATCTCAGAAAGGTAAGTTTGAATTCTTTTTTCCTGAAAAGAAACAAATTAATGAAACAAGGAAAATTTGAGAATGTGACCTTAATGCATAAAGAAATGTAGCCTCTAAATTTTGAACCAAGGCTGCAATTTTTTTCATTTTTGAATGCTTATATACTCGAAGTATGTTTGAGAAAAACTCATCATTAGTCAGACTGTGAACAAAAATTGGAGTTCATATTTGTTGTAACCCACTAAAATTAAAATTACGGATGCATGAATAACTGTTTTTAATCACTTACTTCAAATTCTAAATGTAAATTTTGCTTTTGGATACTATTGAGTTTAAAGAAGAGGTTGTTCCAAATTAGACGGGTGAAATGTGGTTCTGAGTGGAATCAGTTTGTATTCTTGAAAAATTGAGGCATGGAAAACAAAACTAGTATACAAGAAAAACTTATCCCTATTGGATGCTAGTTTACTTTTGGTTTAGATTGACTGTAATATTATTTGCAACAAGTGCCTCCTCATCCTTAAAATGTTTTATCAAATTTACAAACTGCAGTTTTTGGTAAAAATGTATCTTTTTAATCTTGTCATGTCCTAATACTAAGAGATGTATGTATTTTTCATAAATCAATTTTATCCTCTGTTTTAGCCTGATGAAGAGCGATTTACCTCGAGTGCCAATCGATTAGTCCTTCCAGCTAAGCAGAGTGCTCCTCTGGATCCTAAAGCATCAAGTATTGTCATCATAGATGGACTTTCAGCATCAACCAAAGCTCAGCAACTAGTCGACATAGCCTCTCAGTGTGGAAAATTAGCGGTAATTATCTTCAAATTGCTCACTAGAGTTGCAATAATTCCAGAAATTAGCAGTGTGTTGTACAAACAATTATTATCGATATTTGAGAAGTATGACTAGTTCAAAGATGAAGATTACCTCAATTTTTCTTTCAACAATTATTTGCGGAACATAAATATTAAGAGGATTTGGATTTATGGGTGAGTGGAGAAATGCAAAAATTTTGACTTGAAACTTTGTGAAAATAAGCAAATGTAGTAAGGGACAAGTTTCAACTTAGAATTTTAAATATTTGGTGTGCTTAAATTATTAGAAAATTTCAATGTAATAATGTTCCCTTCAAAGTGTCCAATGCGCAGTTTCACCGATACAAATGAATATTTAAAGCACAAGTTAAATGATGTGCTTAAAAAAAAGAGTTTCACTGTGAAAGAAATGCCCAAAGAAAGAAACTTCTAAAATTTTCATCTTATCTGACCATAACTAATCATTTTTCTGCTGCAGCATTTTGTTCTATCTCTTATGTTTTATCTCTGACTTGTTAAGAATGTTACAGATGACTCTTAAATAGCGAAATTGGCATATGTAACCATTGAATGCCTCACCAGATCATATGTAACCAGAACATGAGACCTCATCTTTCCTGATCACCATATTTTAGTCAGTTATTTATAGTTTTTGTATTACCTACTAAATTTCAATTTGGATATCTGCTCTCTCTGCACAGGAACTGAACTTGAAACAAAGTCAAAAACAGGCAATACTCAAATTCAAAACAGCGGCCGGTGCTGCGGAATTTTTCAAGAAATATCAACGTAAAATGATAGACCTATCAATGATAACTCTTACGATGGGACCACCGCTCGCAAATTCTTGAAGCTGCAGCAAGTTGGGGTACTTACCTCCCTCAGAAAATCGGATATGACCCTCTGAGAGATTTTCCAAAGGCAGTTCCTAAATGAGCTGTGGAGCTAGATTTTGGTGACTTTAAGTACAACTCAGTGTTTTTTTAGATGATCTGACTTACGTGAAAGTACTTAGTTTGTTATGAAAACATCTGATAAGTCCTTTACCTCTTGAAGTCACTATTTTGACATCTTTTTTTCAATTTGTGTTAATAGAATTTTTTTTTGTTATGTTCTTATCTGCACTTAAAATACCATCTTTGAAAATGTTGGCATGGATCTTTGCCAACACCAATATTTTTGCAATTATTCCTGAAAATTTGATTTCCTAATTGTTTTTTAATAGTTTTAAAAATATCCTCATCAAAACTTTTTTGCTAGTACATGAAAGAACATCCAGCAAAACAAGATGATTGGTTAAATATTTTTCTCTTTGTCAATAAATACGTTGACAAAAAGATATTAGTTTATATTCCAATTTTCACTGATATTTTGGTATTTAGCGAAATAAATTAAGGCTTCAATTAACAAAAAGACACTTTCAAAGTTGAATGGCTGTGAATGTAAAAGAGAGGCTGAACATTTTGAAAATAAAAATTCTGTCCCAAGCATCACAGGCAGAGTTCCACCAGAAAGTAATCAGGGTTGGAATTTCATGGCACAAATATAATGTTTGCTCAGCCTTTCTGAACTTGTTTTTTGCTTAAAAATTTCTATGAGCTGATTCTGAGTCCTCTTCGATAAGGCAAGAATTTAAGTTCGCATCTTTATCTTCCTTTTTCATCTTTATCTTTCTTTTTCATTTTTGATGCAACCTATAACTTGAATTGCATCTCTTTCCTTGCATTTTGCCCTCTATTTTTTTTCGAATTTTTATTTCATGAAAGTAAACGAGTCATTAAATATTGATTAGCATTTATTCATGAAGATGTCAAGGTGAAGAAAAAGTGTTCTGTTATGTTTAATCAGCCATTAATTTTTGGCCTTGAATACTTGCGCATCAATACCTTCTCTGGAGGATGAATATTACACCAATGACCCTTATTCTTTATGAATGTAATCATAAAATCAATCAGCACGTAAAAAGCATAAATGTTATGTAAATATGTAAATTTTGTTTACAGGACAAGATTGTAAAAGAATAAACTTTTTCCATTTCGAAAATAGTTTCTTCATTGGAATAATCTCTATAACCATCTCTAAAACCACCTTAATGTGAAAAGTTTTATTAGTTTTGAACTTTTTACAAAATTATAGGTAATGGAGCAGATTCCCTTTTATTGAGTGTTTTTTATATTTAGGCTGGAACATTCCTAATTTGAGGTCCGTTTTTCCTACTTTGCTCGTTGTTCCAAAAGCTCTGTTATTTTTGGCTGAAAGTTTCTTCAATGCTTGCCATTCAAAACATCATGAGTTTTGAAAGTAAATAATCAAGATATTAATTCCCTTTCCTGGCCATCAAGACTTCCCGACTTGTCATCTTTGATTATGATCTTAGACCAGTCGTAGATGCCTGGTAGCTAAAAACGGATAAGCTGGAATTTCGAGTTCACAGCTGTTTTATTTACTTACAAAATGTTTATTTTTTTTCATTTATTAAAAATTGGTTCATTAGCTTGAATGATAAAACGGCTTAATACAAGTCAAATTAGAAAAAATGACAAAACAAAGAATTACTAATTTAAAAACATCTTAAGCAACGCAGCATTCGCTGCCTATTTAAAAAGATGGCTTAAGAACAAGGTGTCCAGAATTCTAGGTTATTCTATTATTCCCTGACATTTTTCATTCCCAGATGATTTCAGAATTTTCCCGGCCTGGACACAATCCTTAAAAAGGCCTTTTTTTCGAAAGCAGTGGCTAGCTACTCATGGAAAAAACGGTAAAAAAACGCCTTTTAACCCATTCTTTCAAAAACAGCAAATGCTCGATTGATAGGTGTAAAGTAACCCCAGATTCGGATTTAGCAACCCGTAACACCCAAAGCTAGATATAATAAAAACAGCTGTGTACCCGAAATTCTAACTAGCTTTATGAGGCACCTGGACTATCTAATGAAAAACGAGCCTTCTCTTCCCAAAATTGACAGGATCTGTGAAAAGGGACCCTATCTTCCAAAAATTCAAATTTGAGTAATTGGTATCACCGAATGGAAGAAGATAATCTGGAAATTTCTAGGCAAGTGTGACTCTGAAAGTGCAAAAGTTGAAGATGTGAGTTAGAGCTTCCAGGAGAAAAATTACTGGGTTGTAGAGGAACGTGGTTTAAGTTTTCGTAAAAAGTCAAGTAAAATAATCTCCATAAGATTTCTTTTCACAGATCCTGCCAAAAATATGCAGAAAATAAGCCATGTGCATAAACTGTAAAATCATTTTTGTGAAGAGTACAAGCAGGAAGACAAAGAAGAAAAAAAACTAATTAGAAAAAAAACAAATATATTTAAAAAATTGGCAAAGAAAAACATGTAAATACCAAAATAGATCTTTCACAGGATTGTTATAAATTAAAACTAATTTTAAATACTGAGAATTTAGGAAAACAATTTCTCTTCATAAATCGCAGAACTCATTCTATGTATCTCTGGTGTTTTGCAAAGTATCATATTATCGATAAATTTTGGGTGCCTAATTTAGTGTCTATCAATATAAAGCAGTCTGAGGATTATAAAGTATGCATACCAAATTTCATGGACGAAAAAAGGCCTTTTGTCCTGACAGGAGCATACAGCACCGAACTTGAAGTATTTCGATCTCTGAGGCTTTCACTGCTTTTCTTCAGATTGAGAGAGTGTTAATGGGTCAGTGGCTGAGGACAGAATGTTGACATTTTTTCCTTAAATATTGAAACTACTTAATAAGCTAAGAATGAAGACATTTTTGGTTTTTAAATCAGACGAGTATCAAGAGAGATAGGACGTAATGATATGTAGAAGCGTTGAAAAACACAGCTTTAAATGGGAAATAATGCCCAAAAAATCACGTGTCTATTTTCTCAACTTAAAAGCCACTTTTCTCTGTGACCCCATGTTGGAAAATAATAGTGAAAAATACTCTTAACTCAGCTCAGTTAATTAAAATAAAATTTTCTCGCACCGCTGACCCATTGTGTGAGTCACAGAATCAATTAGGGAATCACCTACAGCAGGAACAAATAAGAAGACCTCGCCACATTGCAGATTTCCAAGCTTAATATTAATGAACACTTTTTCAAAACCATGGGGGAAAATCCACAATATTAAAGGACACCATATGTATAGTTTCTTACACCTTAGTCCTAATAGACAAAGATAAAAGTAACCTTTATACTTATTGGGCATGATCGATGAGATCTATGAGGAGGTAACTACGGCATTCTCTACATGGTTTATGTCTTTGAAAGGCAATACTTTTCTTAAAACTGAATGTTAAAACTGAGAGTTTCCTGACATGAAGAGTGAAAATTAAAGAGAAAAATCGGGCATTTCTAAGATTTTTCATGCCATGATTTAGTTCATACAGGCACTTCTCGCTTGTATGAGTGGTAAAAATGAGGGTCTGTGAGTTACCAGCTCCCATTTTTTATCATGCAAAATCATTGATTTTTCATTTATCAAATCATCGCTCAACATTATTGCTCTAAGAGCCTTTTCGCAGAGAGTGGCTTTCCTTGTAATAGGTGCAAGTTAATGTTTCGATTGATGGACTTCCGATGTAAAATGTAACGATACGACATTGAAATCTTTTTATAATTTCTGTAATAAGACTTTTAATTAGAAAATTCTAAATGAAGAAACTTGTACAGTAAGGCAATACAATAACATTACATCTGATGACAAGATGACATAATTTTGCTTACAAATTATCAACAAGAAAAACAAAACCGACCTTTGGAAACTGTTTTCTCAAAAGGTGATTTTTTGTACTTATAACCTCCATTTCTTCTTAACGAGTTGTACAACAATAAAATAATGAGGTTTAGAGGAGAGTAACGCAGGTGCATGATCCAATTCATTAAAGAAGGCAACTTGAGTGCCCTCTGCCAATTAAACTTGATACAAAGGCGAGCAATAAATAATTTATATGTGCGCCCATGAAGTGAAAGCATCTAACCCTCTCTGGGCAAAGAACAGTTCTTTCTTCACACAGCACGGCAGCACGGTTTTCTTAAAAAAGGTTTTGAGGATGTAATATAACAGAAATGGATAACATGATAAAAAAAATTGCAAATAAAGGCATTGTAAGGGTAACTAAAGATGATAAATACAATTAACAACCACAAGAGCACAGATTTGAATCTATCTAATGATGAGAGGTATAACAAATTACTTAAACATTGACAGCTCAAAACGGGGGGCAAAATAGTAATAGCTTTCACCGGTGTTATCACAATTGAATTTTTAGGGACGATTTAAGTACCTGCAAAAAAGACACAAGTTTCCGAAAATACTATCTATCCAATGGCACCAGACAAGAAAAAAGATCAAAGTAGACTCGATTGTTATCAGTAATGAGTAAGTCCTTAAAACTATAAAAAAGGGATAAGTTGATAGGTAATTTAGTCTGGATGACTCTGAGACTATGATGAGTTAAGTCAACTACGTAAAGTAAATACTAAAAATCTACTGAATCTTGGATTTACTAAAATCTAATAAATCTTACGACCTAAAACTACTAACTAATTTAACTTGATTGTACTCAGAAAGAGGCCAAAGGGGTTTCAAACATAAGAAAATAAGTGCAGAAGTTGGGAAGAGAAAAAGTGACGACGCCCATTTCAAGACTCACCTTGAAAGGACTTGGAGAATTCTTCATGTGAATTGAAATCCATATCGACGGTGAAACTACCAAACCACGTATCTCGTTTGCGGTGTTTAAAAATCTACGCTCACATTTTATTTTTTTGCAGTAGAACAAATCAATATCATTCCTTGAAATTTTCACGGAATTTTCTCCGCACAAAGAGGAAAAATCACAGAAATTTTCAAGACTGGATGTTAAGTAGTTTTTCATTTAAAAAATAAAGTATGACAGGAAGTCTGCGACGTCGCAAACCGAGATACGTGGTTTGGTAGTTTCACCGTCGATATGCTTAGGCAAATATTGAGGTAATTTCAAGGAGCATCATAAAACTACAACCTAAAAACGCAGAGTAATCTTACTGACCAATGAGATCTGATCAACCCTGAGCAAAAAAGTTAAGAATAAACGAGCTAGGGCTCATTGAAAGTGTTTCACTTAACTCTTAGATATGCTTTGGCAAAAATAAGTGTTCTACTGACATCATATTAATTTGAGAAAATCAAAATGGCAGTTTAAAAAAAGGCGATGAGGTAATTTACCCTTACATGATTTAAAAAAATAAAGCCCTTTCAATTGAAAAAAACAAGAGGAAAATGAATGACAGTAGGTCTGACACTTCAATTAAGCAGAATAAATTCGTCAATCCTTCATGGTGCACCTGTTTCCAGCACTCAATAAGTAGGTAAATAATGTTAAGCAGAGAGAATCTATCTTCAAAAGGAATTTAAAAAAAGTATGGTTTTCTGTAAAGGACTAGTAAGCTGCGATTTCAGCATAAATTTATACAGTTTAAGTGTCATAAGTAATTTAGCATTCGCATAGTACTGGGCTTCTGTCAATTACTCAGTCTTAAGCTTTCCTTGATAGAACTGACAAAAACACAAAGAAACCAGATACATGACCGACTGAACAATTGGCGGCTAAAATGAGGAAAATTTCAGAAGTTGAAGGCAAATAAATGCATCCAAATTTGTGGACACATTCATACAACAAAAATCCTGATTTTTTGTACCATTACACGTAGATTTGTTCCAATAATTCTAAAATAGTGAAATTCCTGATAAAAATATATATTCAAGTAAAAATCATGATTAAAAAATACAATAAACAAAAAATAAGCTGAATTTCTTTTCCGACTCTTTCAAAAAACCTGTTCTTCCCTTCCCATTCCCTTCTCTTCACCTTTTCAAATTTGCCACTTACGTAGGGTTAAAAATTCTCTACAAATTCACTCGGCTTGGTCAATTTTGCTCCCCTGCGGATGACTTTGCTTGTGCGGTGGTTTGTAATTTAGGGTGCCCTATTTTCAATCACCATATGGCACCTTCCTGCACCAGCATTGAGATCATGACCCAACGATTACAAAACGGATGATGGTACAGTAAGGCACTGGATGGTAAATAAAATAGGACACAAGGGGGCTCTGAATTAACGAAAATTCATCGCGCGACAAATTGTGACAGCAACATACTTTCGCACGGTGAATTGTGCATGACAACAAATCATGCGTAACAAATTTTTTTGATACCAGGGGTTCAAAGTATCGTCTCAAGGCGAGCTAATTGGCGAAGAGTGAAATGACTACTTTAAAACAATTATTGGGGTTTTTTTGTAGTGCTCATACGATGCATTCTGGAAAAAGAAAGGACATGGGTCTTAAAAGCTTGTCCCAGAAGTTAAAGGAAAAAAAGACAAATCTGTTGACGATGTAAGGCCTTGGATACACCTCTAGGGAGAAGGATTTTTACTTCAGTGAGAATCTGCTTCTACTAAACTCAATTAAAAATAAAACAATAAGGTTCTAAATTTAGAAACTTCAAGTAAAAGGGGCATTTTATTCAACTAAGTAACAAAAACTGAAATTTTGAACTATTAATCAATAAACAACAAAATTAACAACACAAATTATATTGGCAAGTTCCGAAAATAGGAGCACAAAAGTAAGCTCAAGATATTTTCCTCCTCCCGTTTTGAACTTTGTAGCGACTAGAGCCCAATGGCTGAACATAATTTAAATGCCCTCTGGTTAGAATATTTTAGGCTCAATAAAAATGGACAAGGCCTGCTTTGCGAAAAAACAGAAGAATAGGGAAAGCTGATGGTGTTAACTGAAATAAAATTCACTGATAACGGAGAGATATGAGGCATCGCTTGGATGACACCCTCTTCATGTGACGAGAGACGCTGAGTGCTCTTCAATATCCTCTGTTTGAGTTGCTACTTGACAAACTTTGCACCAGGATTGGAAAATTACAGACAAAGATATTGCAAATGATTTAGGTTCGAACAGTTTAGTCTGCTAGTACCATAGGTTTCGATGCTCTGGTAGTGGATGGGTTCAGCAACGGTTGGGTGTTACTGCCTCCTGATGACAGATCCACGTAAAGTGTTCTCAACATCCTCCTTTGAAGGATTTGTACAGAAGCCCAGGTATTTGGCTATCTACAGCAGATGAGTGGTCAGGAAAGGCCTCAATCATAAGCTCTGGGACCATGCTTTCAGATGAGTAAGAGTGATAACTATGGACCAAGGCGTTAGTTGTTTGTATGTGAGTAAGGTTGGACAAACCCTTCCCAGGAGTGTTACACTTCTGGGAAGAGTTTTTCCGCCTGCTTTTTGGTTTCTTGATGCAACTGATAATATCTAGGACAGCTTGATTGACAGAACTCTGACAAAACGTTTGCCTACTAGAATTTCTGTGCATATGACGTAGTGCTTTTCTGTGGCTCATATTATTTCGAATGTGGGATATCATAGTGCAGGAGGCGACTGATAAATTGCATGCGTGGCAAAAAAATTTAAGCTTCCTTGCCTCCTCTACCGAAAAAATGTTCATCTCACTTTTCAGTTCTTTAATCAAGTAGGCGATTCGATCTTGATGACTCATATCTAATGATGAAAAAGAAACCTTCAACAAGGAGTCTCGCAGAAATGTAACTGATGCAAGCCAAACTTCCACTGTATTAGGTAGCGGAACAGATTCTAACTTTCTTCGGTGGAGGATGGATTGAAAGTGCTGAACCCAAGAGTTTATACCCTTCAGGGAGGTCCTGCAAATGTTACACCTAAAACACTGCAAATGTCTCATGTACTCCAGGTATTGCCAATTATGCACAGAGATTTCAGGAACCAACGCTTTGGTCTCTGCGCACCCCTTAGCTTTGGTGCACAAGGCTTGTAGGTGGCTTACTTCAGAGACATGAGCTTCCACTTTACTTTTATGAAGGGAATCTAGGCAGAGCTTGCAAATGACCGAAAGCTCTCCATTAATTATTCTAAAGACAAAATGGCTCACTGTAGATTTAAGTCGTTTAACAAGAATTTCCAGGCTTTTTTGATCTGTCTTCGTTAATGATGTAAATTCTGCATCGCTGATATCTTGAAAAGGGTGAGGTTTGGATGCAGATTCAAGGGTTTCAACAAAGCTGTTATTCAAAGTTTCTGGTATGCCCGGTCTATTAAGATCCTGTATTATGTAATTGCTCTCATTTTTAGGATCACATACTTTCTCTTTAAGATTAGACTCACAGCAATTTCTTCTTCTTCTTTTTCTCTCAGAGTCATTATACTCAAAAGTTTCTGCAAAAAAAGACTCTGCAATGCCACACACTTTAGGTTGCGTTCTGCCTGGCTCCTGTTTAGAACTATCAAAGAATACATCAGATGAAGTTACAGCAGTATCAGATACAGATTCCGCTTCAGTGACTCTTACAGGATTTGGGGATTTAAATACAAAAGAGGCTTGCGTACTTAAATTTTTGTCACTAACTTTTTGAAATTTTGAGCGCTTATTGTTAGTGTTTGTTTTGACCGGCTGTGGGAATTTCTTATTCATTTTTGCACTAAAAAAAACTTGCGGGCTGATTGAAACTGGGACAATCTTTGATTCTTTTTTTTCAATGGAGAAACAAATGCTCTTCTTAGGACAGGCTTGTGCAACTTCGAACTCAGATTTCTTTGTAGAGCCATCAGTTTCTTTGATCCTTTTTGATTTGTTGGTCTTAAAGATATTGTCTAATGGATCTACGGTAGGTGATTTCCCTATACCTTTATGAGCTTGATGAATATGCTCTTCCACGCTATCCAACTGTAACACACTCCCACAGATTCTGCAAATGAACTGGATGAGCGACCCTACTTTAAGGAATGAAAAGTGGCCTATGTAGTCTTTTAATTCCCAGATTAATTTCAAAAGGCGTTGACGGAGAAATGTTGGCAACACATCAAAAGGGAAATCATTTACTCTTTGGAAGATTTCAGGTTCTGGATTGGGGCTGGTATGGACCACAGCAATATCATCTTCATCTGTTGGTGATAACTTTCCTTTAGTTGGATCGCTAACCGTGGAGTCTGGAACCTCAATGAAACAAGATTCAAGAACATTCAAGGTTTCAGAGGTAATCACACTTGACTTGTCACTGATATCAGTGCTTGTCAGTTGTGGGGCATGATCATCATACGGAGCGGATGAAAGAGGTACAAATTCATGGTGAGAAGAGGTGGCTGGAGCAATCAACGGGGCTTCTCTGAAATCTCTGACAAAATGACTAGATCCATCTGTTTGAACCGATAGATCTCCTGTCGTTGCATCGATGGATGATGATTTGTATGAATCACCGGTCACCAAAGCCATGGGACTAGGGGTACACCCTGGAGGAGAGAGTCGGATAGTCTCAACACTAGTGCACTTAGAATTACTGTCAGTCTCTGTGGGTGCAGCATCTAAAACATGTCTGGAGGCCTCCTGAACCTCAAAAATTATCTTCTTCACTTCAAGAACCTTCTCTTTGAGAAACTGACAAGCGGTTTGACAAAAAAATTCAATACAGTAAAGCAAATTTCCCAAAGTGGTGACCAAAACCCTTGAAATGAGCTTGCATGCACCAAAAACTACATCGTAAACTAAATCCAGTTCTGGAAATTTGAATAGAAGCCATAATGCATTCAATGACATCTTGAAAGACTTATCTACAGCAGAATAAAATGCCAAGAGTAATTTATCTTCATTACATTCTGAATTATTTATCACAGTCTTATCTTTTAGCCCAGAGATGGCCTGAATGAGAAGAGTGGAAACCTTGATGAACTCGTTGCGGCAGAAAGCATTTGCATCACGGCAATTTAAAAAAATTTCTTTGAAAAATGTGAGCAGTTTAGGAATACTTTCTAAAGCACTCTTCACTGTATTCAGGTGCTGCAAGATGTTGCCCGTGCATGCTGCGACTGCAATTGGGTCAAGTTTAGGGACAAATGGTAGCATCAATTTTGGGAACACAGCAGAAAGAATGGAGTGAGCACCTGAAAACGAAACCCATCTAGCGTTAGCATACGTTCGAGAGATACACACCATTATTTCATACATAGAAATATAAAGGAGGATTGTTCAAAGATAAGTTTTTAAAAAAAATTAAAAGAAATATATTAGAGTTTCCGACCAATTTCTCCTCCTCTTTCTTAATTTCCTCTTTTAGACAAGCTGTACCCTGACAAGCTAAAACCTTTAAAAATTCACTCAAAGCTTGAATGGAAAGTTATTTTATGAGGACTGTTTTCCATAACAAATTCTTTAACTTGTCAAAAGAATCAGCCATGAATTGGACTGCATTTAGCAGAAAGGAACCAAGCCACAACAGCTATTGCCAGATTTAACTGAGCAATTTATATTGTTCACAAGAGAACGTTTGTGCAAATTCCTTTGAAAATTTTAGGGAATCAGATTCATATTACAAAGAAAATTCACTGAACCTTACAAAAAAAAAATCCGCGCAATCGTTTTCATTACGTTTCATAAAATAAAATTGCCTAATTAAATCTGGCAACAGCTGATGTGGCTTGGTTCCTTCTTGCTTAGCCAGTCCAATTATCAACAGTGATTAAAAGTGACAACAAAAGTTTCAAACAGTGAATAAAAAGCAAATATTGTATGAAGCATTTGCTGGAAACACACAATTGGTCGCATCTTTGGAAATGAACCCAATGATACAGTAGGGGTCATTTTGACTGATCATATGTCTCTGGACAATGCAGATTCACTTCTTGACAGAGAGGAGAAATAGTATTGATACACAGCAATTTTCGTTGTCCAGAAACTTACAGTCAAGCTCAGATTGAAATGGTTGACTGCAAAATACGTAATGCATTTTTCATTTGCATTGGCACTTTCGAAAAAAAAACTGCGAATATTGCTCTGCTGGTTTTTCTTTACCGCTTGCCAAATTTGTTATCCATTCCTGAAAATTAGCCGACAAGGCTGATTTTTTCTTTGCTACTCAGAGTTTGTAAACAACCTTACTGGGATGAAGTCAATTTTTTCACTGCTTACCTGAAGGGATTTTTCCTTTCTTTTGAGACAGAGAGAAAAACATCCGAAGTAACATCCTGGGTGTTAAAAGGTTGCTTGACAACTCTTGAATGCTGATATAAACGCTACGGTTATTAATATAATGTAGCTAGGGTGTTACCTCAACAGCTGGAGTGTCCATAATAACATTCGAAAGGTAGATTTATAACAACCGAGATGTTACTTCAGGGATTTTTTTCCCCCGTAAAAGCATGTAATCTCGAAAATGATGATTTTCCGGCCCTCTTAGTTGAAACTCAAACTTAGCTCAGATGCAGTGCCTGCTAAGTGTCCTCAATAACAAGGCAACATTTTTGCCCTTTTTAATAATTAGGGAGGAGCAGCAGAGTGAGGCTCTTATTCTTACAAAACTTAAAAAAAATCGATGATTTTCAAAAAATGGAAGTGGTTTGAGTATAAATGTTGCAATTTGTACTCAAGAATGTCAAAATATACTTGCTGCTTTGATGGTTAAATAATTTATTGTTACTATTGTTGGATAGCCTGGGTTGGTTACCCAGCACAGGTTGGCAACACTGCCCTCAGAGGGTCAGGTGACGAGATTCGTCATGGCGTCAGCCGATCATCATGTTGTGATACCAGTGTTACCGTGTCGTTTTCATTCCCTTTTTTTTTTTTTTTTTTTTTTTTTTTTTTTTAAACGATATTCATATTTATTATAAAATAAAAAGGGAATGAACACGACACGGTAACACTGGTATCACAACATGATGATGCTCACCCATGACGAATGTGGTCACCTGACCCTCTGAGGGCAGTGTTGCCAACCTGTGCTGGGTAACTAACCCAGGCTATCCAACAACTATGATCTGATTTTGGAAGTTGGACTTTTTCCAATTTTTGGTATTTAATATTTTGCAGATTGTCGCTTTTTGAACAGAAACCAGTTGAGATGATTCTTTATGAAGTTCTGGACTTCATATGCTCTTGAGAACAATCATTCAAGAGTTAGGTGCAACGGTTTTAGTACACATGCAGCAGTCGATTTTAACAACTAGAAATTAGGGCCTACAACATAAACAAAACCCTAAAAAAAGAGAGTAAATTATGCAGTTATTGACATTCAATTCGAATTGAAACTTAATGAAGAAAAAGTCTCCCAGAAAAGTTGCCAAATCGTGCAAAAAGCTGATTTTCAGAAACAGTTGCAAGATTTGAAGACTCTCCTAGCATTTCAGTATAGAGGAACGTCTAATTTACAGGTTGCCTTCATTTTTTTTTTGGGAGAGTATGTAGTCCAGATTTGAATTTAGTCAAGACAATTGATACCATGAAATTTTTTATTTCTTGTGTGTATTCTTGATTTTGAAACAGACAGAAAAGATGTGTATGCTGACACTGTTACCCCTGCAGATCCTGAACTTGACTAGCGGACAGAGCATCATAGAACTTAATACTAAAAAAAAAAATGATACTCCTGAGATCGACGGTAACATAAGTACCTATATTATGAGTGAACCATGGACAATTGAGAAGCTAAGTATATCTACCTTGGAGGATTTCATGTGGAGATTTGGCACTTTGAGCAATAGTCAGTAATACAGCAGCTCCTGATTCAGAAACATGGAGTAGATTTCTGACCACTTCGTCATTTTCAGCAACTTTGGTCAAGGACAATAGGCTAATGACGTCATTTGACCATATAAATGCATCAAAAGAGTCACGTAACGCATTGCATTCAGTAGATGCAATCTTCAATATTTCCGCCAACAGGGGCAGAATTTCTGTTGCTTTTCTGTGGCAAACTTCCATCTTCCTGGTGGAAATAAAGATAAGAATTAGAATAGACATAGAGAACATGTATCAGGATGGGCAAAACAAAACGCTCAAAAGGAGCGCTGTAACATTTTTAATTTAGAAGTTAGATGTTGCGGTTTGGACTATCATTAAAATCATAGAGTTTCACAACCCCTCTCCCCCCCCACCATGTCAATGCTTGGAACAACAGCCGAAACCGAAAAACTCTAATTCAAAAAATTAATTTCAAGAGTTTCTCCTGCCCATTCCGGTTTACCTGAATGCACATGAAACAAACAGAAAGATGATTTCCCAATATTAACGAGTGCCTTCTAAAGAGAAACATTCAGACCAACTAATAATACTGGCAGAGAAATGCTACTGCGAAGAAATGTTGAAAGACCGACAATTTTGTTTACAAAAACTTTAATTGAACAAAAGTGGAAAAAATGATGAACAAAAAGTTTGACTGTCTGAGTTGGGCCCTACCACCTAGTTTATTCAACTAATTTAAGTGTTTTTCAAGGAGATGCATTCAATTTTTCATAAAGTGAACTTCGGGTAGGGAAACTGAAGAAATATTACGATGGGTTTTAGTAAAATAGGTCCCAATCCTCAGAGCAGGAGCTTCAGTTTATAGTCTGTCCCAAATAAGAGGAGCGCTGGAAAATCAGAATGATTAGCACTATTTGGCGGGTTGGAGGTGCCTCCACCCTCGTCACCTGTCATCTAGTCGCCTCTCACATGCTTCACACAGTGGCTCGCAAGCCACCTCGAGGCAACGCATACTCCCTTCGCATCTCTAGACCAGGATAGGTGATTTAAATCCCTGATTATTGACATTCATCATCGCTCCTCTGACCAAAGGTCTTATCTCCATTTTTACGTGAGCTCCGGAAAGCATGAAGGTATATGGACAACAGGTCTCTCGTGACATTTCCGGTATGCTTGAAATGGTGAGGAATAGCGACATTTCCATACGCTTAGCTGGTAATTTGATATATGCAATCAATTATTTGTTTTCTGGTCTAAATATGCTGCAGTTTGGAGGGTACCCGTTGTTTGAGACTGTTAAAAATATGGCATGTTGTTCCCAGATTTTGATCCCAAACGTTTAAACTTTTGTTCGAAGCCTCAGCGCGACGGTTTTCCCCGGGCCCAGGAGCGGATTTCCCCGCAGAGCTCATAACCAACCCTCTGCGGAGTGCGAGGTTTTCTCGGTGATTAGACGGGTATCAATGAAACAAACGATACCTTACTTCTACATCGTGCAAATTATTCTGATTTTCCAGCGCTCTTCCGTAAGCTTGCCTCTGGTAAATGATGGCCCATCTACGTTGCCTTTAACAAGTGATTTGCTTTTACTTGACACAATTTGGATCATTCATACCAGGGGCGGACTGGCCATGGGGGCGGGGAGGCGATCGCCTCCTAACAATTTACCGCGGAGGTCCCGAAGGGGCGAATTTTTTCGAGTCATCGTTTTTTCCCCGTAATATTGTAATTTTCCTATCCTTTTCAGTCACTAGAAGGCCCCAAAATCCTTGAAAATTTGGCTCTAAGAGACATGAATGGTCGCCTAAAGCTTATGTGATGAAAGGGCCCCCGAAAAATCCTGAGAATGGGTTATTTTGAAGTTCAGGCACTGTACAATTTATCTCCAATAATGCTTAAAATTGCGTTTAAAAAGTGTGAAATTTTCAGAATTTTCCGGGGGAGGGCCCTCGGACCTTCTTAGAGGAGCCCCCGAACGATAGGAGGGGCCCCCACATTTAGGTCGCCTCCTAACTTTTCGACTACCAGTCCGCCCGTGATTCATACAGAGTAAAATGAGATGATTTGGCACTAGAAGTGAGTGTAGATGGTCTGAGGAATTCAAAATCTCTGGCTGGACTATCAACTGGTAAGTACCAACTGGCTAGTGTAGGATTTACTGATTCCCCACATCTGTGACACATAATTTAAAAAATACTCAAATAAATTACTAGGAAACAAAGTGCGGCTTACGAAAACATTATTGTCCATTCACCGAGGCCTAGGTACACGGCAGCAGGTGTGAAAACCTGGAAAGGAGACCACTCTGACTCTGACTCTGACTGCACCAATTGTATTTTTTTTTATCTTTGTGATTGCAATCAATTCCTACTTAGCATTCCTGGCCATTGGAGAATACGTGTGAGAGTGTGTGAGTAATATCTCCCAAGAACAAAGGGAAGCCGCCGGGCTACGTTTGACGGGTTGCATACGTTTCCCGGTTATCTCCCATACATTTAGTACAGTGACATACATTTAATACTTTTTTCCATAATTTAAAATGTGACTCTGCCGAACAAATTTGTTTCTTTCGATAAAACTTGCCAAAATATTCAACTGAAAATTCCACGCCTAGAATAAATTCACTTTCTCATGTAAAAAAATCAACTTTTATAAGTCCTCCGCTATACGATCCCGTGTGTTTTCGGGAGTTACGAACATTTAACCTCAAACCCATGGCCAGGTATTTTGCAATGCAAGATTCATAGAGTACAATAGAGTCGCAAAGTACTGGAGCGCCGATGAAGCCAATCCATTAACAGGCGTTTCCGAGCCACTTGTGCTCCGAAAATAGTGAACCATTTACCATTTGCGAACCCAACGGCATTTTGTAACACGGCGGCTTATGGAGAAATCAAGAATTGCTTGTATTTTTTAGGTATTTTATAATTCAATCAGCATTAATTTTTGCAAATTTTGCTATTTAAAGGTAGTCAAAGCCATAATGAATCCACTGATGTATATTACTCCTGGATAATATTCATATTGGGATTTAATTTCTGACTTATACCAAGTGTGAACCAACCGGCATTTTTTTACACGGTGGCTTATGGAGAAATCAACGACTGCTTGTGTTTTTTCGACTTTTTTTAATTCCATCGATATTAATTTGTGCAAATTTTGCTACAATTAGATAGTCAAAGTCATAATGAATCCATTGATGTATGTTACTCCGAGATAATATTCATATATGGACTCAATTTCAGACTTATTACCGGCCTACTTATTTTAGCTGGTTCAGTGTGTGTCTAGCCGACGAACGGAACGGAGCCGAGTCGGGACTGTCGGGAGTGGGGACAGGGACCAGTTCTCGTCCCTGAATAGAGAACTCGTCCCTGGTGGGGAGCGCTGAGCGCGAGTCTCTGCGTATGCGTCATCGCTAGTCGCCGCACACTAGTCTCCGGAGAACTGGACAAAACAGCCTCGAAAAGTGACTTCATCGGCGATCCAGTACTTTGCGACTCTATTGTACTCTATGGTGAGGACATAGAACAAGGAAGAGCTTGCATTCATGAAACTCTAAAATTTTTCAGAGCGCATGGTTGCAATGATTCATCAGAATTTATTATCCCTTTCGTTCTATGTGTTTTCAAAGAGTCGCAGATTTCTAACCTTACCTCATGTTTTGGCGACGGGACACATGCGAAACTCTGCTAAACCACGATACGTAATAAATCTACTGTTCAAATTTTTCGTAACATATTCTGGGAGGAAGATCACAAACATATTTTGTATATGAGAAGCACATAAGCCTTGTTCAAAACTTCGCGAGCTTTGGCGGATAATCAGATAATGAAAATTTGAAAACAGAGACAAACATAGGAAAATTAAGTAGGGTCATTCCAGCCATTGGCGTAGTGACGTCTGACGTATCTGCTGTTTGCTCAAAGCTCTCTCCACTCTCATTGGCTGATAGCGTTCTACGTCATGGCCACAACGTTTGAAATTTTGAATAATTTTTGAAGAGGGCTCCCTCTGTTGAAACACGTTTTTCCGTTATCGGAATACTCGTTGAACATCGTCAAACCAGTTACTCAACTCATCACTCACATTACCTTTTTCGATAAATTCACAAAATTGCTCCTCAATGAAGTTCATATCATTGATTCCTGACAACATTGAACATTCATTCTCCCAAGACTAATCATCGTTCGAAAGGTATGTAATTCTTCAGATTTCTCAGCCGCCGTCGTAGGACGCTACAGGCGTCTTGAAAACCAATTTTGCTGTCACATTTTCCTTCTAATAATCTGGTATATTTCGTCGAAGCAATTAGCCAGTTATGTATGTGCCTGTTATTGGCAATTTAAATTTTAGTTACCTGCTCTTGACGTGAATCCATCTATCCATAAACTACTTTACACATTTCTTGTCTGTCCGCACGTCCTAACCTCAACAAGTTTACCCTGATTTCACAGGGCTATTACCTGTGTGCAAACCATTAATCGGCTATCACATACCTAAGTCAACATACTCTCCGCACTTTCAGTCATAGTACGTAAAATGGCAACAAGATTTGGGTTGGGACAACTCAAAATTGTGTACAAGTAAGTTGCGTCATGTTTCAGGAACTAGTTTTTGTGACTTACATACAGCTCAGCAAAGGAAACAATTTGATCCTTATACCATACTGTCTGCAGAAATTTATTTCACTCTCAATCTGACCAGGACTACAACATACGTCTCGGCTAAGAACGAGACGAAATCAGTCCATGTGCAACAGTTGAATTTGCATGGTAAATACTTAGAACCTTGTGTACATGAAAGTTATCAAGCGCTGATAAACATGCCTCAGTTCATTTTTGCTCCTTCTTTTTATCACTCAAATGTTGAAAAGTTCACTTCTAATGCCTTCTTACGGCAGTGTAAGATGAAGTGCTTAGTTACCGAGGCACCGCAAGTAAATATTTATGTTCCCTCCCGAGAGTATCAATGATTCACTTTGATGCCCTGTTTTCTTTTCTTTACATTTTTTCCAGGCCGTGCGCATGGATGTCTGCGAAAACTGGTCTCATCATCTGGGCCTACCGGAATACCCACATTGTCTTTGACTCACAGTCCGTCTGTCTCCTGTCATTGTGGCAAGTTGTTAATTTTTTGAAAGAGCCCTGGACAGGAGGTTAACGGCAAACTCTCAACATCAATTATCTACCTAATTTTATGGAATATCATAATTGTGATTGAAGCTCTCGCTGAGTAGTGCAATTTGCATACCGTATGTGGATTCCACTTTCAATAACCTCTAAGTAAGTGTTTACTTTTTCTTCTTTTCGCTCCCCAAGTGCTGTGATAGTGGTATTTGGTAAAATCGATATTTTCCGTAAATGACTCATTCAATATTGGTTTGAGCGGCGCTCATTAGAAGTGGTGGTGCAATTTTTAATAAAATGGTGATGGCTGTAGTGCGCGGACATCTCTCCTGGGAACAAACTATTTACGAAGAATGCTGAATTTTATGCTGAAGATAATCTATGCCATCATCTAACCCGGGGAGGAACCAAAACAAATAGGTGAGTTATTTATTTATGAATTTTGTAGATTAGTATCTTGCATTAAATACATCTTGCATTTGTAAAAAAATAAGGCCTGCAGGTATATTGTTCTTGTGTTACGGCTTGATACGTAATTTGTAAATACAAATTATAGTTAAAAAAACCCTTAAATACAGAATAGATGCTGAAAGAAAATTTCCTTAAAACTTAATGCCTCTAATTGGTAAAGCGATTAGCCGTTAGCATAAAATTTCAATTGTGTCGGTGTGAGTATACTTAAGACTTTGCTGTGACTTCTCATGATAAATGAAATAGTAGAGTCTTAACTACCAACAAGGTGGAAGAATCTGCTAGTTTAAGTCTTTTTTGTGGTATCAATACAATTGTATCTCGAGGGAGTAGTTCAAAACTCAATTGAAGAATTAACAAGTTCCTTTCTCATGAGAATTGACAATGAAAAGTAGGGCAGTTGCACAGGTAGAGTAATTCTGAGAAATCATAAAATTAACTATTTTAAAGTACAATTTATGTATTAAATTTCTGTAAGGTCTCTTGTGGAGCAACGCACTGAAGACTCTATCATTCTCATCAATTATGAAAATGGGAGACCCATAGGAGCACTGCTCTGCAAGGGACCTTCTCTTTTTATGCGTAAATCAGGATTTACCTTTACCTTTTTTTTTTACCCTAAAAAAGTGTTTTTTCACAAGTAAAAGAAGTAATTTTTAATTTTTTTTGTTACGTAAAAGTTCATCAATTTTACATTTTTTTAAATGTAAAATTTACAACACAGTTGAGGCAATGAAAGAATTATAAGAACATTAGTTTTAATGACAACTAACAGTATCTATATAGTATTATATTTCAAAAACACCCTCAAATATCCGAAACTAAATGAAAATTCCCTAACATTTATACATGTTTCATGAAAAAAAAAATATTAGACCTGCAGACATATTGCGTTATTTTTTTATGTCGTTTTACGTAATTTTTAAATAAAATTTTTGTAAAATTTATGTATATCTTCATAAAAAAAATTTAGCGTTGTCGGTAATTTATAGATTTTTTTACACTTTTTTATAAACATTTTACGTAAAATTGATTTAAAAAGTTAACTACACAAGAATATTTTTTTACGTAAATTTTAAACTTTTTTTATATTTTTTTTACGTAAATTTATCCGTCAAAATTTTCGGATTTTTTTCACGTTATTTTTATGTAAAAAAAATTATCATGTAAATTTTACTTCGTTTTACAAATTTTTACGTTTTTTTTTTACATAGGCTGCTACTAGGGTAACCTTGGTACAGGCTGGTCGAATGTTTAAACTTAATTTCAATCTAGTTGCAACACTCTAGCCCCTTACATTCTAAATATAAGCAACCCGCACGACATCTTTAAACTGCAATTTTATTCCAATAAAATTGAAACTTTCGTTCTGAAAAAATTGCAACAAATTGCAACACTGCAAAGTTGAAACTTTTTCACTGTTACCTTGCAATTTGTTGCAATCTGTGCTACATGGGAGGGAATTTCACCAAAATGTGTCAGGGAAATCAGGGAAATGTCAGGGAATTTCATTTTCTAAATTCTGTGGCAACCCTGCATAGGTCATTAAATGAAATGAAATAAATAATATGCGCACCACTGACGGACCCAATGTTTCCATGCACTTGGGAGGCACCAGCTATGTTTCATGCGATCGGCGTGGAAACTGGAACATTTCCATCCAACTTGCATGTAAACCATACTTTTCCATGCAGTATAGTTTTCACGTTGCATGGCAATTACTTTATTTACATGCAAGTTGGATGGAAGTGGTCAGGATTTCCATGCCAGCCTC